TTAGATAGAGTTTCTTTTAATTTAATAAAGGCTGTTTGGTGTGTACCAGTCTATTCAAATTCCTTATTCTTCATTTCCAACTCTGAAAATGCTTCAATTCTTTCAGAATATTTTGACAAGAATTTTCTATACAAATTGAGTAGTCCAAGAAATGATTCCAATTCTTTTTTATTAGTTGGAGAAGATACATTTAATATTTTTGTATTAACATTGGGTTAAGTGAAGTACTGTTTTCTGAAATTTGGTAACCCAAGAATGTTAATTCTTTGTAATTAAATACAGACTTATCCTCATTTATTGTCATTCCTGCCTTCCTCAACTTATCCATTACAAATTTAGTTTTTTGTTTCAGTTCTTCTTCAGTGGCAGCACCTAAATATATGTCGTCCTGATAAATTATCATATTTTCTACTCTCCTCTCTAAGTAATTTTTGATAGCTTTTTGAAAACTTGAGCTGGCTGTCTTAATTCCAAATGGTAAGCAAGACCATCTAAATAAGCCTAGGAGGGGGTTTATTGTTGTCGTTTCCTTAAATTTGTCATCTATTTGAATTTGGTGGTATACATTTTTTAAATCAATTTTCATAAAATATTTCACTCCTGCCAGAGAATGTAGTATGTTTTCTATATTTGGAATAGGGTAGGAATTTGAATAAATCCTATGATTTATACCTACTTTGTAATCTTTGCAAATTATAAAATCACCATTAGGTTTTCTTATAACTACAATAGGCGATGCCCATTTGCTGCCTCCAGGTTCTACATATTGAAGAATGACTTCTTTCACCATTTTTCACAGTTTATCAACTACCATTGGCTTTATATGAATGGGAAGCCTATAGCTTTCAAAATATGATGGATTGATATTTCTTTATAACTTAAAGCTTGCTTTATAGTTTTTTAATGTCCCAGTTTTGGGACTTGCTGTATTCATAGCATTAAGTAAACATGTGCTATTAATATTTATCAAATCAGTTCCAACTAAATCGTGATTTTTTATATACTTTACGACCATAATAATGACAGTTTCAAATCTATTTTTTGTTTCAAAAGTGCCTTGAAAGGACCCTAATATTTTTATACATCAAACTCTCTTAATCTTACTAAGCTTATCTTTAATTTTGGTTTTGATAATTGTTCCCAGAAATTCTTCAGAATAAGGGTTACTTCACTTCCAGTGCCAAGTTGCATTTTTAAGTCTACACTGTTTAATATTAATATTCGTGAAGGTGTTCTTTTTGTTTCTCCTTTCTATTGAAAACGTTTGTTTGACTTTTTACATCGTTGTGTATTATTTTGACAGTTTTTACATTGGTATCTTGCTATCTACAAACAAATTGAAAGTGATTTTTCTTTTTACACTTATTACATGTTTGTCCCCATGCTGGACATTTCTCTCTCTTTGATTCATGCTTATAGTTGTGTTGTGGAGGAGTAGGTTATTAGGAAAAATATGTATATCTCAAAAGGTATTATTTGTGTTTGCTGTGTGAAAATAAACTTCTCCACAAACATTTACCCTTGGGTATGGCTATCAAACCCCGAATATAAAACAACAATATGTTTTCTAGAAATAACAAAATATTTTTATATCAACAATATAAAAACTGAAGAATGAATTTACTCAGGTAATTTAAACTGAGTTGCAAAAGTGTTACAAAATGTATGATAATGTGTAGCATTTATAATTAATAATATAGCAGGAGTTATTTACCTTTAACTTGAAATTCTTAAAGCCTTTTAAGAGAAAATATTTTTATCTGAATTCATGGAAAAGATTTCAGTTCATGAAATAAAGTAAATGTTCAAAGTTGCTTTTTGAATAAAATGTTTGTTTGGCAAACTGTATGTTCTTTGAGTAGAATTCTTCTTGTCTCAATAAAAATCGTACATGCTAATACTGAAGTGTAGTTTGTTGGTGAGTGAGTGAATTTGAAGTTTGAGTTTACGTTAAGAAATCTAACTTAGAATCTTCAAAGATTTGAGCAGCGTGAATTTGTTTAGAGAATTGTTTGATGCTGCAAAGCTCACTGTTAGAAGTTGAATAGTTTCTGTGTGCTTGTAGTTGAAGGAGTGAATGAAATAAGTTAAGAGATGTGCAATGTTCATACCTATGTGTGTACGCATGTGTGTGTATGTACATGTGTCATAGCGTCTTCCATTAAGGAACAGACACAGACTCTTCATTGAACTATATTGTTGTGGTTCTGAGAAAAACAGAGAAAAGAGAGAGAGTTGAAGATGTTGCTATCTATTGTTGTATATCGCATGATAGGCTCGAAACACATAGACAGACTTTTGGCAGTAAATTAATTTTAACTGCGCGAATGTAGTGGAAAACATAATATTAGCATTAATTGACCAATTAGGAGTCAGAGAAATATCAAGGCTCTGTGATCCACTTTTTTAACAGATTTTGTTGATCGTAGTGCTGTTATGTAGGAAATGTATTGGAATCTTTTTTAACCAATGGAATTAATTAGATCACAAATAAAATATTATTAAATTGAAGTAGAACCCTAAAGTTGCAATATTTGCATTTTATCATTGTTTTTTTATTGCACATGTGTCCATAAGCTCAGGTTGGTTTTCATTTGTATTAAATTTTTCAATTAACTCCTTTTGTTGTATAAAGTTAATACAAGCTTCTAAAGTCATTTGCTTTGTCTGTAACTGCTCTAAGATTTTTACTCTATGAGAGGTGTTGTACAGTCCTTCTACCAATTGGAGTTGAATTGATTCTTCCTCTTTGCTTATTCCTTGCTGTCCTAGTTCATGAAATTCACAATATCTGCTGGTGTCTCTTAACCTTCTTAGATATTTCCTTATAAGCTCCCCAAATTCTTATTGCAATGCTAAGACTATGACCAATCTTTTCTTTGGTTAATATTTCTCAATATTATTTCTTTGACTTTCTTAAATGTTAAGTTTTCAATTTCAACCGGGTAAGTCATTAACAAAATGTGTCTAATGGCTTCGCATCCCACAATGTCCGAAAATAGATACATGATTTCTTTCTATCCTTCAGGTTTTTGGTCATCTCATAACTTCTTTATTCTGGCACGTGCCTCAAAGTATTTTATCCAAATCTTTACATTTTCAAGTTCTTCTGAATTCAACAGAACTCCATGAGGCAATGCCATTTTGTTATGATGATCAAACATAGTAGCCATTGATATTCTATGTACACTGACTCAAAGTTGCCCATGAGCTATAGATATAGCTCTCTTTATGCTAACTACCTATTAGCTAAACCAATCCCATTACACTAACAATGATATTTGAGGAGCATGTACTTGGCTAAGGGCAGGCCCACCTTTTGCCCCTTCTACCATGAATGCAGTCATACTTCTTGGATACAGGCTAGCCTCTATGAGATCTGGCCATTATTGAGAGAGGCATTATATTGGATTTTAGTCAGTGGACCTCACTGACTAAAATCCAATGACAATCTGATTGAGGTGCTTGGTCTGATGAAGGGGAAATTTTGCTCCATATGGCCTTAGACACCATGGTTGAAATGCCTCACTAATGAGCTGATGAATCGGAATGCACTCTGGGTCAGCAAAGTGTTTTTGGCACCAGGACTGGTTGCTTTGCCAGAATTCATCTGGTGGATGGAACAGGGGAGTCCATTGAGCATGCATTCTTTCACTGACTGGTCATATACCCACAGTGTGAGATTATTGAAGGCCACATAGTTTGCATGCTGCATGGACATTTCTTTGCCTTTGATGCCAGCTTTATTCTTTACCCCCCTCTCCACATGTTTGTAAACATGGGGAGTTAGTTTAGAATTGTGGTATGAGTGTGCTTTTTCTCTATAAATGTAGTATTGTGGTGAAAAGTTTATTATAAGTATAGTTGGGTCAGTGAATGTGGTTAGTTAAGTTAAAGTTAGACCAGTGATGACCAGCCTTTCCCCATCCCCCTTTTTGGTCCTGTGCCACACACACACACACACACAGACATATATATATTTAAAGATATGTTTTGTGGTACAAAACTTTGGAGAAAAAAAATGTTTAGATGGTAATTAGTTGCAGGCCTAATACAAAGTCCTGTTTACACAGAGAGAGCTTCAATGATAGAATATAGATGGCCTCCAACACTTTTAAGTGGTAATTTGAATAGGACCTGCTAAGGATGGTAAATGAGTCCACACTAAAACTAGCAGAACATTTTTTTTTCTTTCCCCAATATACTTTGTTCATTTTTTAGTGATAATTCAGTTTATTAACCTCGATTAACTCTGTTGGACAAGGTTTGAAACTTGTTAACTAGCCCGTTTTTCAGTTTTACTTTTTACTATCATCATAAGTGGTAATAATAAAAATATTTTTTGTCTATTTATGGCAGTTATATATATATATATATATATATATATATATATTATACAATATATTTATTTATAGATCCAACATGCTTAATAAAATGTGACCTCAAATCATCCTGAAATCAAGTTATCTGTTATATTAGTAGCATCCTAAGAATTATTTATGTACAGAATAGTTGGGATAATATTAGTTATTTTTCTTGGTTAATATATACTGTGTGGTTCAATATTTAAAATAATATTAAACCGGTAGTAAATATTACATAAGTTAACTAAAAATTATTTGTAGATAGAGTCCTTTGTGTTCTGCTTTGAAATCAGTTTTACCTTTCCTTGACATTTCTGGTGCAATATTTAAACTGAAACCTCAACTTTGAACTCAACTTCTTGTGGGTATTTATGAAGCTAAACTTTTTCTTTGTGAAGGTGAAAATCTAGTAATGGTTTGTAAAAGGAACCTGCTAATCACAGATTTTTTAAAGAGTTTTTTTCTACTATCAAGTAGCAAAGACTGGGTTATCTCCCTTAAAAAAAAAATCCTTTCAAGGGAGATAAAATTGTAATGAGGTGTAAGAATTATTGACGACGCATGCGTAACCGGAAGTTTTGATGGTGCTGTTTACAGCGGTCAGTGAAGGGAGCAGCTTTACCTCCGAACAACAACATGGGGCTTTTTGGCAAGACACAGCAAAAATCTCCTAAAGACATGGTAAGTAATCAATCGATTACCTGGGATGATTGATGCATCGATTCTTTTATATGTCAAGTCAAACTTTGGTGTATTTACAGAAACAAAACTTAAGTAAAAAAAACTGACAGAGGTAACGTAAACGACAATGACGGCTGATGTAAAAAAAAAGTTATTCTTTTTAATAGCCTTGAAAATAACAGAAAACTTTTCAAGTGTGAAGATGAACATTTATATGTTATTTATTTGGATTTTAGAAGACCCTTGATGGTAGTTTTTTTTTATTGACTTGTCAATACTTTAGTGTTGTTTGTTTGTTTTGTTACATTGTCGGCATTTATGAAATTCGGAATTTTAAATTGTAAATCAATATAAACAGTCAATACGGAATAAAGTCCTTTTCCCCGACTCTTCTTAGTTTTACCAGAATAAAAACTTCTACTCCTTTCCTCTATTACATTGTTGTCTCGTTTCTCCTTCTTTTAAAAGAATCAATATTTTAAAACATTGAACAACGATTTTTTTTCCTTATTTTTTTTAATTTAATTCTAAGCGAAGCCCCACATATCTGATGTTTTTAAATAGCCTCAATATTTCAAATAACAGAAATACCTCTTTGTCACTGATTAATAAAAAAGCATGAATAGCCTTGCCCTTATTTATTTTATTTTTTGTGGTGTTTCAAAATTAACTTTTTGATCAAACATCTATTTTTTTCTAGATTTTATTTTTTAAAGGATTTACGAAGCACCGGTAATTTTTAAACTTTATTCTTTTTTGACAACTAATCGTGTTTTTATGTAATCAGTTTAAAATAAAGAGAAACTACGTAAAGAAAGATCAACTACGATAAATAATTTTAAAATTTAAGTTTTAAGAAATTTAAGAGCAAAAACCAAAAACTTTCATTATCGAGAGTAAAATGAAAACAAAAACAAATAATAATGCGTATTCTGAATTAAAATGAAAATATCTGATTAAAAAAAAAATAAACACGAGCAATTATGTTGTAAAAAATGTAAAAAAAGTAAAGTTTAAGTAAACTTCATTTCCATTATAGAATCAACTACACTGAGACTAGAGTCGGGTTGAACGCATGTAAAAAGGAATTAACATAGTTAAGTTCTGTTAACTAACAATAAAAAAAAAATATTTGCATGTCGACAGCAATAGGGGTCCGAATCTGTTAGTTAAAGAGTCACACAGACTGAATGTTTTTTCTTCAGCTACATATTTTCGAGACTACAGTAGATACATTCTTTCTCTAATTATTTGCTTTCTTGAAGAAATAGATTTATTTGATTTTTCTGTAGATAGAAACAATTAGATTTTTAATCATTTTATTTTTAATTAATACAATATGAAAGTTTCAACAATAAAGGGAGACATTTTTGTAGGATAAAAAATTTCATTCGGTCCCTTAAAGATTTTTAAACTTAAATTTTTCAAGTTAAAAAATTATGCAGTTTTTGGGTTTAAGAACCTATTTTGTAAATAATTTCAATCGATAAAAAAAGCATGAATGTCAAAAAGATCATATTTATTTTGAAAACGTGTTTTAAGGCATAAATGAAGAATTTAAAAAGAAAATGTTTGAATAAAAACTTAGAGATAAAAATTTTCGTAACTTTTTAGTTTTTTTGGTGTGAATGTTTGTTCCTGATTTTGTTCTTGGTGAATTATTTATTTATTTATTTATTTTGAGTCAGTTTTTAAACATTTATCACAAATTTTTTTTAGAGAGAAATGGAGGGAGGGAAGGAAAGAAAAAATCCTCTTTCTCCACTGTTCAAATAAGTAACTTTCGGGAACAATAAAAAAAAAAAAAGATACGAGTCTTTTGCTCCTATTTAAAAATCTCTCAAATCGTAAATATTACTTACTTAAGAAACCATTTAAAAAATAATAATCAACAGACAAAAATTTATTAAAACTTAGAATTTGAAAAGAAGTAGCATACATTTCTTAGCTAAAAAAAAAAAAAAAATGCACATTTTTAAAAAAGTTCAGGAAAGTTAGTGTGTAAAAAAAACAAACAAAAACACTTTACACCAGAAAACAGATTTTTAGTTTGTAATCAAAGGAAAATAGTTTTTGTTTGTAATGAGAATGAAGAGGGGAAAATTATCAAATAGCAAGTGAAATGTCAGTACTACATTAAAAAATTGTTTTGATTTGATATCATCAGATGTGCATTTAAAAAGTAATTGTACAGGGGATTCTCTTCAAATCTATTTATTAAAATAAATTATCCAAGCAACTTTATAAAATAGGGAGAAAACATTGTAATAAAAATAGCTTTTTATGTGAACATTTTGCCTGAATGAAAGATTTTTCTATATAGCTAAAAAAATTATTCAAGGGTTCACTAAAAAAATCACTTGCCATTTTATTCACTAAAAAGTAAAAACTATATTGAGTAGAAGTAGATAAGCAATATTCCTCACATAATGCATTTATCTTTATGTGATCCCTTCAGAACGTGGGTGATCATGGCGCTCCACAACTATCCAGTGTGACACTAAACAATATTTGTCCCCTTATTTCTCCCAGTACCTGTTATGTTATCCATTTTTAAACAAACTTGTTACGTATATATTATGTTTCCCCTTTGTCCCTGGTCATGTGAGTGTTATATTCTCTAAGCTCTATTTCCTCATTATGTATCTCAGAAATTTCAATTGTCTTTTTCTGATTCTAAGTACAAGTGTTTCCATTTTCCTTAAAACTTCCTAGTTGTCCATATGCTTCATCCATGGTATTCTCAGCAGCCTTCTCTAGAACCACGTCTCTGTTGTCTCAAATCTTCACTTCATCTGGGTGGAGATTGTCCAGCATTCACTGTCGTATAGAAGACTGATATACAACAATTCAGCACTCTTATCTTTGTTTTTAACAAAATTTTCCCGTTTCGTAATACCTTTATTTTTTGGAAGGCATCTTTTGCTATTCCAGTGTGACTTTAAATTTTTGTCACATTATTGTCTGCTACAACACTTCCCAGATAGTTAAATTTTTATACTTGCTTTGTTTTGATGTCTTGAGTTTGTAACTTGTATTTTAGACTGTTCCTTTTGCTATTGACCATACTACTACTTACAATTGATGATTAGTCCTTTCTTCCCACTTTCTTTAACTATCTTTTCTAGAACTTTCTGTATCTGCCATCAACATGGTGTCATCTGCATATCTTATGTTGTTAACAATTGGGCTCACCAGTAACAAATCTTCAATTCTCTTAGGATTGTTTCTGTTGTATAGGTTAAATAAATCCAGTGAGAAGATGCATCCTTGCTTTATATCTTTTTCTATTTTTGTATACATGCTCAATTTATTTTCTGTCTGGAAACAGGCTGTTTGTCATAATAAATGTTCTGAAGTATTTTAATATCTTTCCCAAATAAATCAATTTTTGCTAGTAATTCAAATAGGTCTTTGTATCAGACAGTATCAAATATTTTTGCATAGTCTATGAAACATAGATATACGCCCTTCTCTGTTTGTATTGTTTGCTCTTTGAATACTTTTTATGTTTACGTTTTTTAGCAGATAAAACAGGTATTTGAAAGTAGACAGATTTTTTTCAGTCTTTCATCTCCAATTAAAAGTATAGTGTTGCCAAAGCAACTACATTGGCCATGCTATCAAAATATTTTATTACTATTATTAGGATCTTTTCATATATGAGTCTTTAAATAAGTTTTCTCTATTTATTGTTGTACTATCTCTTTTCATGGAGTCAGTCTTTTCACTTCCTGGTTTCCTAAACATATTGAAACAGTTTTTTGTTGTTATCATAAAGACTCCATGATCAAGTGCAAGTGTTGTGACTCTGGTGCAGCAAAAAATTACAGACATTAGAAAAAATATACAAGTACATGTGGCACATAAACACACAAATATATATATATATATATATATATATATACGAAAGAGAAAAAGAGTATACTCAAAGAGTTTGAAAAAGTGTCCTACAATGTGAAATATCTTTTAGTATTGGTCCTTCATTTAAGTTCACTAAAAAACTTAATCTATTTTATAAATCCATATGTATAATTTCACATAGGTTGCTTTGAAAGATTTGTAAGTGGTTATATAGTATATAATTCTGTTGATAAATTCATTTTATGAGAAATTTTCTTCATTAATTTCTAAAAGTATTGTATGACTACAGTGAATAGAATTAGGAGAGAATTAATTATATTTATTTCTATACATTGTATTCCAAACTGGCTTACGCATTCTTTTCATCTTCTATAATTAATTACAAGAATGAAGGCATTACTGTTTTTAATTTTACCTTTTTTCTCTCTGTTTCATAGACGGAATATATATTGTTCTAAAATTTTCAATACTATGAAAAACATAAAAAGCACTCGTGCAAAAAAAAAAAAAATAGTTAATAAAAATTTCTATTATATAGTATTGTAGTGATATATATATATATATATATATAAAAATGACAATAGGAAAACTGGTAAAATTATGGTTGTATTTATTTCTATGTATGACTATTGCATTAGCTATATATACATAGAAATAAATACAACCATAATATTGATTTTAAAAATGCTACACTCATAAAAAAAGAAAATAACTCACTCAGAAGGAAAATTCTGGAGAGTGCCGCCATAGAAAATTATCCAAATATTAATTTATGCCCAGGTTTTTTCCCTATTTCACCTTTCTTAACAAAATTAATGCTCTTACAAACAAATATACACAACAGATTCATAAAATCGAAAGAAAATGGCTGAATACATCAACACAGATATAATGACAATATTCTCCACACGTGACAATCTCTGACGTTATTTTTCAGTTAAAAAATATGAAAATAGCGTTTCTCTACATTCCAGTTGCTAGGTACATTCTGTTTTTGTTTTTATTAGTTACTTTGTTCATTTAATTTAATTTTCGTATTTTGCTTTGATAAAGTCCACATTGGACGAAACGCGTCAGCAATTACCAGTAAATATTGTCTACTCTACCGATTAAATCGGAGAAATTTTCATATATAT